AAGAACAGTGATGAGCAGCCGCAGGATTCCGTTTATTCCGAAATGGATCCGCATGTGTCGCCGTGGTTGACCAGCGAGGCAGGTCCCTTCACTTTTACACTCTGCCTTTCAGGGCTTATTTTCGCACTTCGGTGAATGATACCAGCTTAATATCCCACATTCCCTTTTATGAAGTACGGGTACCGATGTAAATTGTTGAAAACCTGAGTTAATTGGCATTATGCAGGATATTTTATGGGCACCACCTTCGTACGATCAGCCGATTGAGCACCACTTGTGCGAATTTCGTGCACTCCTAAAATATATGCGTAAGAAGGAGGAATTTGACTAAGAAATAACCAGAGGTCGGAGGCAATGGATATGTGTACATTTTCTTCAGTATTCGTGCCTCTGACGGGAAGCACGGCGTCATTTCGCTTGAAGACTGAGAATTCCCTACCGAAATGTTTACGTGGCTGTCCTTGAGAAGGACGGATCAATTTCGTGCGGTGTTAGGACCAACAAGGCAGGTCCCTTCACTTTTATACTGCGCATTTCAATGCGCATTTACGCAACTCGGTGATTGGTTGCAAAAGAATTTTCTATAATTGCCGCTCGTGAATTAATCTGCCTAAGACATTACAGTACTCTTGCTGTAGCCTCCCCCTGCTGCCTCTGGTTGTCCTTCGTTGTCTCTAGTTAAAATATAGGACTGAGACCGACTAAAATTACTATTTGACCACTGGATTGTGTGACTAGATCAGTGCCCCAAATCGCAATGAGAATGTACGGAAATGTGTTAAGTTCCGCCTAACTAAGCTCCGAAAATTTGCTGAATTCGATCTAATCAACTAAAAACTTCCAGGTTACTCTTGTAGTTCACAACAGCTACTTCTCAATTCACTCTTCTTCTCTTGTGGCGCTTCGGAACTCAGTTTGTCATACTCAGCCTGATCATTTCTCTCTCTTTGCTGTCTCCCCATCCAGCTACTGGCTGTTCGTCGCCGACTGCGACTCCTCTGCGATCTGCCGGACTGCGATGAAAGCCTGTCTTCCGCGGCAGCCACAGTAACAACCTTGAGAAGCCTTTTCGTGCACCTGCGAACCACCTGCCTGCCCTTCCTGCGTATCGCTGCCTTCATCATGCAGGAGATTACAGCCATTGATGTGCCCGACGCCGCCACGCTCTGCCAGCAGTCTGCCGGTACTTGTTGTTGTTCCTCTTTCCCTGTAAATCAGTATCAGTTTATTGAGGGAAAGCTAGGCGAATGCCTTTGAACTCCCTGTTGGTAACAAGATGGTAGGGAATAAATTGATACGAAGAAAAATTGAAAAATTTACGTCAATTACGTGTTCCGGGAAGACACCAGAGTCAAATCTTAACAAAATATGACAGAAAAAATATATTTCTACTCGCAAATCGCGATTAGTATAATTTAATGCAATGTATGTGATACAATAAGCGTGGTTCAGTGTCATGTGCTGCAGTAGATTTTACATGGTTTGTATTTGTGCTTGGTGCATGTCCAGTCTACTCTTAAATGAATTAACACAAGTGGAGAGGACAACCTCTTCAGGAAGGGCGTTCCACGCTGAAACTACTCTGTTGGTAAAGAAGAATTTTCGTCCGTGGATTCTTGCTTTGCCCGGGCGTAGTTTAAGGGGATGCCCGCGCAAAGGTGGTGTGTTGGCCTGGGCAAAGAAATCACCGGGAACGAAACAACAATCCAGGTTATTCATAA